TCATTGGACCAAATGACTGGAAGTCAGGCCAGGACCAGGACTCAATAACTCAATATATACACCGACGGCTCCAAGATGGATGGAGGAGTTGGAGCGGGCATATACTGTTCAGACCCTGAAATGTGATGAATCCGAGGCAACCGAAACCTTGGGGCATCTCATTTGCAAATGTCCGGCCCTAACGAGGGCAAGGATGAGATACCTAGGCTCTCCGGTTTTGGCATCGTTAGAAGATGCTTCTTGGAGGAAGCCAGGCGAACTCCTTGCCTTTGCGAAAAACATAAATAGTCTCTAGGTCTAGCTAAGGACCATATTGGCCTATGCGTGGCCCCACGAGGGCCGTCCGGATTAACCTAACGTAACTAATCATTAATAAAAATATAAATTATAAATATAAAAAATAATTAAATTCTTAATGCTGATGGTTTGACTGGTAGGATTAGAATAACTAACACCTTTGTTTCTAAATTTTATTATGTATTTGCTGAGTTGACACAGCAAAATTAATCTTACAGAGTGTGAACGAAATGAAATGTTCGGACCGCTCTGAAGACCGGCAATGAGAAAAAGTAGGAAGAAACTTGTCGTATTTATTTTGTTTGGAGATGAAAAATTTGGAGCACAAAATCCGGCTCGAAGGACCAAACGTTGAGGCGGGGAGTTGCTTTCTTCTCGAGAGTAGAAAAAATATAGCACCGAAAACCAATATTGAATAAGAAATCCCACGACGCAGTTGAGGGAAACGCCAGTGGTAGAAATAAGAAGGCACGGGGGGTTTGGGGTATATTCACGAGTAGATAATAATTCACGCCTGCTTTATTTCAGTTCATATATGTTACTAATTAGTTTACAGACAAGAGCCGAGCTCTCGCCCACATAACTTCATTAATATAGCGGGAACGGGAGAACGGAGAAAATTGAAGTAAACGAGCGGTCCCGAACTTCGCCTTGCGAGGCAACAAGAGTGGGTGCTGCATAAAATTGGCATAAGGCTTCACATTACACCAACGAGCCCAAGTGCTACATTTGCGCCTCGTCTGTCAAGAAGGAGACGAAACACTTAGCGGCTAGCATAAGGTGGCCGTCCAAGTGTAGCTGCAGTGGTGTAGCATGTAATTAATTCAACTGAACTTGAATCATTGCAGGGCCGCTTGCCTCCGTGCCAGAAGACAAGTCCAGAAATCGGGTAATTCTCCGAACTTGCTGGCCGGCAGCGAGACGTATCGGGCCGCACGAAAGAATCTTAATAAGGCGATACGAGCAAGGAATAGAGAATGCTTTCGTTCTCATTTCATTCCATGCCATCCGACGAAGTAGAGCACCACAAAAAGTGGTGAAGCGAGTGAGCACTGGAAGTACGTTGCCATCGGACCCAGAAGTCCTTGACGACATCGTACGGGCACTCTTCCCAGGCGTGGAGCAGGAGATCCTCGGGGCAGCGAGAACCCTGCAAAACAAAAGGCCGCCTGAACCCGATTCAGTCCCCAACAGGACAACCAAGCTGCTGCTCTCCCTGCACAAATGCCTGTTTGAAGGTACCTTCCCTAAAAGGTAGAAACGCCAGAAGCTGCTTCTCCTTGCGAAGCCGGGCAAGCCAGCGGGAGAACTCTCCTCATACCGACCCATCTGTCTGCTAGACACGACCAGGTATCATGGTGATGGTCTCGAGGCTGGAGGCAGCAATAGAGCGAGCGGGCGGACTCACTCCACACCAATTTGGGTTTCGTTTGGAAAATCGACATTGGACGCCATAGAAAAAATCACCAGCCTGGCCGCAAGTACCATTGCAGACACTAGTAAAGAAACGGCACAAAGGAGTACTGCCTAGTAATTACACTAGACATCCGAAACGCCTTCAATTCGGACGACTGGAGACGGACGCTGGAGGCCTTCAACATCCCTGGCTACCTGATGAGGATCTTTCGTAGCTATTTCAGTAAGAGGATGCTCATGCATACATGGGTTCCAGAACGCACCTGGTCTCAGCCGGAGTCCCGCAGGGCTCTCTTCTAGTCCGCTGCTCTGGAACACAATGTACAATGGAGTACTGAAAAGGAAGCTACCCACCAGCGTGGTCACGTCCCAACTCCTGCGCGGAGTAAAAGCCACTAAGTGCGCTGAGGGTAGCATGTGCCTTTAGGACCGTATCCGATGACGCGGCCCTAGTCATTGCCCTGCTGGTGCCGCTAGGCGAGGTAGTGCAAGAAGCACAAGAAACCCGCCCCCTACGCGAGCCGGGTAACTATACGGCGTGGCACGAGGCCAGGAGTAGCGCTAAAACAGAAATTAGATGTTGTCTTGCAAACTATGTACAAGATGTCGTCAGCCATCTCGACCTTCTATTTTTTCCACAACTCAACTGAATTCGACGGACTACAAGTCGATATGAGAATCGCAAATCGAATTTGATTCAATGGAATCGTTCGAATGTATATCGTTCTCGCGCAAAATCAAGCATACAAAATAGGCAAGCCTCGCGCACAACACACCATCCTAACGAATTTTCACGAAAGTTTCCCAAAACTTTTTAGCAAATTTAAAAGAATTGAAAAAAATGTTTATCTAAATCGGCTCAGCCGTTCTCAACTGATATATTGCGGCGGACGCCTTGCCTACGCTTAAATTAAATAGGAGTATATACCAGAGAACTGTAAGGGTGGCATTTTTTAGCGCTCTATTCACACCCAACTAAATTCGGGTGCCACTCACTACCGAACATCAAAATAAAAGACAAACACCCACACAAAAACGTCTGTGCCTTGCAAGTATTCTGTATGCTATCCACCCGATCATTGCGGTACTTTTCGTCGGTGGGTGCCGATCACAATCGCACTCATCAAAAAGGGCATGATAAAAACAACTATGCAAAAAGGGTTGAAGGAAAAAAAACACATTTATGACCTGGGTGTCTAGCAAACACCCGGATGTGTGTGTCGACACCCGGGTGTTTGTGACATGATCGCCTTCTTTGTTTTGGACACGTGTTAGCGATCGGATTCATTCCAGTTTGGATGTCTGTTGACAGCTTCCTTTTCTGCATTTTTTTTATTTTTGTTATTCTTTTATTTTTAAATTTTTATTTATCTTTTTTTATTACTTTTTTAAATGTAAATTTTAAAAAAAAAAATAAACAAACCACAACCCAAAAAAAAAACAAAATATAGAATAGATATACATTTTTTAAAAATATATATTAGATAGTTATTTGTTTAGACTTAAAAAAAAAGATTGCAGAATCTTACAAATTTTACAAGCAAAATTGAAGCTCCTTTTAATATATAATAAAAAATTTAATATACTTTTTATTTATACTTTATTAGTATTATATAAGTAAGGCCAATAAAAAACAAGAAAGGAAGCTAACTTCGGCACGCCGAAGTTTTTATACCCTTGCATATTGTTTTTGATGTTTGTATTATAGACTTAAATGCTGAAAACACACACAAAACAGAGTTTTATTACATTTTACCTATACTTATGTTTACAGTTGACAGTTAAAGTTTTAAATTCCGAGCTTTACATCTACCGATCGCTTCTATGGCAGCTATATGATATAGTTGTTCGATTTTCATAAAACTTATACTAAAATTCTGAAATAATATCAAAAGCTCATATCTCAAAGTAGATGAAAATACGTTGAAAAACAACGAAGTTATAATTATTTCTATTAATTTCCCGATCGTTCCTATGGCAGCTGTAAGATATAGTCCACCGATTTTCATAAAATTTAAACCAAAATTCTGAATTAATAACAAAAGCTCATATATCAAAGTAGATGAAAATACGTTGAAAAACAACGAAGTTATATTTTTTTCCTATTAATTTCCCGATCGTTCCTATGGCAGCTATATGATATAGTCGTCCGATTTTCATAAAATTTTTACCAAAATTCTGGAATAATATAGAATGGCTATATCTCAAAAATGATGCAAAAATATTAGAAAACAGCCAAGATATAATTTTTTTCTAAAAATTTATCGAACATTTGTATGGCAGCTATATGATATAGTCGTCCGATCCGGCCCGTTCCGACATATATAGCAGTGAGAGTATATAGAAGACTATATGCAAAGTTTCATTCAGATAGCTTTAAAACTGAGGGACTTGTTTGCGTAGAAACGGACAGACGGACGGACAGACGGACAGACGGACAGACGGACATGGCTAGATCGACTTGGCTGTTGATGCTGATCAAGAATATATATACTTTATAGGGTCAGAAACGTCTCCTTCACTGCGTTGCAAACTTCTGACTGAAATTATAATACCCTGCAAGGGTATAAAAAAAAAAAAAAAAAAAAAACAAACTGTAAAAAAAATACACGCTCACGAAAATCGGGCGGGCGCAGGTCATTCTTTGTATACATACATTTTTTATGGGTGTCCGAAAAACGAAACAAAAATCAATCGGGTGCCAAATATACACGGGTGTTTCTTATTGCAGCAAATACGTACCGTATGGCCGATGCACTTGTAGTTCCGGTGGCTTGCTGCCGCTATGATACCCTAATACAGTTTTCATTAATCAGAGGATTCACTAGAACCTTGAAAGAGACAACTATGGTGTTGTTTTGAAAGAATTTATTTGTATGTTCTGACTACTGTCACACCGATATAAAAACAAACAACAAACAAAGGTCCCGTTTTTTAGCATATACATATCTATGCATTCCGTGATTGCACAAGCGCCCACAACGGTTTCACTTGTCAAACGGTCAGTATCAGACATTGTTGCATTCCAGGCAGTAACTGATAAAAAGTAATTGCTTGGCCCACCACGATTCCGAATTCTATATTATAGCATTTTTATTAATTTTATAAGAATATTTACGCAATCGGCAAGTTATTCTGTTATTGCAATTTCACGCTTTCCATCACCCAATATAATGTTTTATAATTAGAGTGAAATCAATTAATTCATAATCTAATGTAATTTTTTCACTTTTTCATTAAAAATCAAACGTGTTTCCGTGGTACTATTATTTTTTTTCGCAACTTACCATAATCTTCTTCATATATAATAGCCACTTTCGTCCAGTTTAGATAGACCATTACATCCCTATAAGCGAGAGTTAGAAGACTATGTGCAGGATATAAATTGACAGAAAACTCTTTGGAACTATATTCGAGATCAATTCGAACTTCGACATGGGGTATATCATAAGCCTCGCATATAGACTGCACGTGACCGGCAAGTAGGGGATCTGTTGGACCAAATATGGCTTGAACTCCAGCCTCCAATTGTCGGCAGACTTTCTTAGTCGTTCTAAAGGAATCATCGCGTGGCACATACTCAATATCATAAACAAGTTGTGTTTTGGGAAGCAAGGCTTTCTCCTTGTTAATTCGATATATGGCGTATTTGAATGCCGATTCTATACTGCTTTCACGTTCATCTTCGGTAAAAATAGCACCTATCGAACACAATTTATGGATAAAATATACTAAAGTTTTTATTTAATTTATAAGTTCTAAAACTTACCAACACGAATTACGGGTGGCAACGCATTCGCAATTACTAATATTGATGATAAAATTATGCAAAAAAACATAGTCTAAATGCTTTGCAGTCCAATTTCTGAATTTTCTTTTATGGTATCCCGTGTTCGCCGTATCTATAAAGAGAAGACATTACATTACATATTACTAAGTTATATCAGCTTGGAACCATTACATATACCATTGTTTAATGAAAGTACATATTTATTATAATATATACATATTAAAAATATTTCTTAGCCACCACTTCCAATAACACAATATTATATGTAAACAAGTAAAGTGCAAACACCACTAAATCTTAAAAGAGTGCATTTTCAACCCCAAAGCAAGAGAAAGCTTTAAGCTTCTATGAAGCCTAAAAAGTGTATTTTAAGGTTGTGGTGGTGGTTTCCCTTGCTCTAATAACCCTATGTATAACAGAATAGAATGTCTTATAATTTAACATTGTCAAAAGAACTAAGCTTGATAACCAGCCACCAGAACAGATGGTTTTGCCGTTCAGAAAACATCTCTTTGTTTTTCCTCCAAATTTGATAGACTTTTTGCCGATAGTTTGCGATTGTTTTTCAGTGAAAGTCTTCTTATAGGGTCTTCCCACACAGCGTTAAAGCGCATTTAGCATCCGTTGAACAAATGCTCCATAAGGTTTTGCCGTTCCGAATTTTCCCAAATGGCCCGGCGTTAGTTCAGCATTAGATTTTAATGCTGAACTAACGCCGGTTTGTTTGGCGATAGTTAGGCGATAGTTTTTCGGTGCAACTCTGATTCTTCTTCTTAATTTGACCATTCACCACGAAAATGTAAACAAACTTGGCGAGAAACAAATGAGATATGGAATTTAAAACGTGGCGCCAAAGCTACAAGCATGCCCAAAATAGATGTTGGCGTTTTTTCTGTAAATTCTTGCCCCAATATGTCCCCAATTGTTACTATTTAATATAAACCGCCTACCTCTACCTTATTTTAAAGATTTTGGATGCCTATACCACCTATAGACACTCTTCGGGGAATTTGCTCTTTGTTAGAGAAAAATCATTAGAAAAACTAAAATTCCTTGTCATTTAATTCATTTAAATTTATTGCGGATAAATTCTGACGCAATCTGTGCCTTTTGCTGTTCTACAACAGCCAAAATAGTTGGTAAATGCTCCATTTCAAATTTGCAACTGCCAATTCGACAGCCTTTGTTTACGTTTTCATGAGCCACAGCTGATCGATCAGCTGCTCGGATGCTAAATGCGCTTTAATGTTGTGTGGGAACACGAGTTTCACATTTGTGAAAAATCCCAAACGTTCCTCACAAATGCGCTGTGTGGGAAGACAGTATTATCATTACAAAATTTTGACATTACTACAAAAATGACAGGGAACAATTAAAATAAGGCAGGCGCCAAAGCGTCAATGTTTTTCGGTATATCTTTTTCCCAAAATTTTCCAAATGGCTACAATTTAATATAATACTGTCTTCCCCCACAGCGCATTTGTGAGGAACGTTTGGGATTTTTCACAAATGTGAAACTCGTGTTCCCACACAACATTAAAGAGCATTTAGCATCCGAACAGCTGATCGATCAGCTGTGGCTCATGAAAACGTAAACAAGGGCTGTCGAATTGGCAGTTGCAAATTTGAAATGGAGCATTTACCAACTATTTTGGCTGTTGTACAACAGCAAAATGCACAGATTGCGTCAGAATTTATCCGCACTAAATTTAAATGAATAAATGACAAGGAATTTTAGTTTTTCTAATGATTCTTCTCTAACAAAGAGCAAATTCCCCGAAGAGTGTCTATAGGTGGTATAGGCATCCAAAATCTTTAAAATAAGGTAGAGGCAGGCGGTTTATATTAAATAGTAACAATTGGGGACATATTGGGGCAAGAATATACAGAAAAACGCCAACAACTATTTTGGGCATGCTTGTAGCTTTGGCGCCACATTTTAAATTCCATATCTCATTTGTTTCTCGCCAAGTGTATATACACTTTCGTAGTGATATTCAAATTTGCACTGTTAAGAAGAAGAAATCAGAGTTGCACTGAAAAACTATCGCCTAACTATCGACAACAAACTGTGGTTAGATTTAGATGCGTTCTAACGGCGGTCCAAGTGGGAAATTTCGGAACGGCAAAGCCTTATGGGCAGTGGACGCTCTTGGATGGTGTGTGGGAAGACCCTATAACAGTGCAAATTTGACCAACATGTATACACACTTGGCGAGAAACAATTGAAAAATGAAATTTAAAATGTGGCGCCAAAGCTACAAACATGCCCAAAATAATTGTTGGTGTTTTTCTGTATATTCTTGCCCCAATATGTCCCCAATTGTTACTATTTAATATAAACCGCCTGCCTCTACCTTATTTTAAAGATTTTTTATGCCTATACTACCTATAGAGACTCTTCGGGGCATTTGCTCTTTGTTAGAAAGAAATCATTAGAGAAACTAAAATTCCTTATCAATAATTCATTTAAATTTAGTGCGGATAAAATCTGACGCAATCTGTGCTTTTGCGATTGTACAACAGCCAAAATAGTTGGTAAATGCTCCATTTAAATTTTGCAACCAATTCGACAGCCTTTGTTTACGTTTTCATGAGCCACAGCTGATCGATCAGCTGTTCGGATGGCGGATGCGCTTTAACGCAGCTCTGTGGGAACACGAGTTTCACTTTTTTTTTAAATCCCAACCGTGCCTCACAAATGCTCTGTGTGGGAAGACAGTATTATTGAAAGGGCAACCAAAGGAAGCACGAGATTTTATATGTATGACAGCATTTTAATGAGTTCGTGATGCTTTTACTAAGAAAACTTTTTTTTTAAAACCATAAAACCTTATATAATACAATATATCAAAAAAACATCGATGCCGAATACCATATAATAATATAATAATACCTAAAAAGGTTGCTCAAAAATACGTGTAAATAAATTAATATCGGAGACTTTTGCTAGAGCCGGGTGACTTTTCTATATATACAGATTTTAAATCTCGAGACTGTGAATGTGCAGCCCTGGTTTGTTGGTATTTTTTAGTCAATTTCAACAGTTATTTTTTGTCGAAGACATAAGTATATATATCACACAAATATGTCGGATAAACATTACCAGGATATTGATAAAATCTAAATTTTAAACTTGGTGTTAACCTTACCCTTTTATGCGTTTCACAAGACGCTCTACGAAATATTTGCTGACAAAAATACGTAAGAAAGTGTATTATTGATTTTTCAGTAGTAATTTTGTAAGAGAAATAAAATGAACTTATATTTGTTTATTTTACTGTTGGGAAAAGTGGATTAATATTGATTGAAATTAAGGATAATACCTTTATTAAACCGACAAATTTGTTAATAGTCATCGGTTGCTTTTATTTGTTTAGAAAAACCAGAGCCCGAACGGTAAGAAGAAATCCTCTACAAAATGTGTGTATCTGATGGATACAAACACATATGTACAAACATGCTTAGAGACATACATATACATAAATCCATGTCCAGCTATTTGAATGCATTTATACAAATAGATACATATGTATAAGCGAAGACAAAAAATAGTTTTTGACTTCTGAAGATTAAGTGAGTTTTTAAGTGTACAAATTCGGTAATTTTTTTTTAATGTATATTTATAAACAAATTAATATAGTGTTTTAACTTCCTTAATTTATCTTTAGTTTACTTAAAATTCAATATGACGAGTAATCATTTTGTATTTCCAGATCCAAGCACTATTTATAATCATGACAAGACACAACCACTTGGGTACCATATACCTTGCAGTAATATTATCAGCAACATTCACAGCTGCAGTTGTTACATCCAGTGAAAATGAGGATGAATATTTAACACAAAAAGGTTAGTTATTGTTAGTTATTGAAAACGTGTATGTCCTAAAACCGTTGAATAATTAATTGTTTAATTAAAATTATACGTTTACGTTAAATGATGAGGTGATAGTACTCACCAGTCACCTGAATATTTAAAAATTCGTTGATATATATCATATCTTTACAGAAATCATATTAGAAAAATCGTATCATGGCTTGATTCGGGAAAACGAGACCTTTGTGGAAATAACGCCATTGATCAAAGTTGACGAAGAAAAGATTTGCAACTTTCACATTCTTAAAAAACCATATCATGAGATACCATTTGAAGTAAGTTTACCTCCCGAAATTTTATATCACACTCTCAATAATATTAATTTACAATTCCAATTTTAGATTGAATTGGTTAATAACTTGGGAATTTTGAAGGCACGTCGTACATTAAATTGTGAAAAGCGTAAAAGTTACCATTTTGAAATCGTTGCAATATATTGCGATGGCACGCCATCAAATACGGCGAATGTTCATATCACTGTAATTGATATTAATGAGTATGCTCCGACCTTCCTAGAGCCATCTTACGTAACGGAAGTCGACGAGGGACGTCTGTACAATGAAATCTTGAGGGTCGAGGCAACGGACAAGGATTGCACTCCACTTTTTGGAGATGTTTGCAAATATGAAATACTCAACAACGATGAACCATTCGCGATCGATAACGAAGGATCGATAAAAAACACTGAACCGCTATCTCATCGAGCATCGCATAATCACATATTGTCGGTTGTGGCCTATGATTGTGCGATGAAGGAGTCTGCGGCGATTATGGTCAGCATTAAAGTTCGTCGTGTGTGCGAAGCAAAGTTCTTGGGAATGCCGGAACGCATCGATTATACGGTACATATACATACATACATATATTCATCAACACAAGACAGAAAAAATACTTCTGCAAGCTGAAGTTCATGTGCCCTTAAAGTTAAGCCAAAAACTCTCGGCAACTATTATTAGTGAAAAAAAAAATCAATGTAACATTGATAGGATCCATGTTGACGAACGTTTTGTGGCTTTAATATTTTCTCTGAACCTTTTTAAGGACTTTATCTAAAATTTAAATATATAAAAGATGAAAATACATTGAAAAATAAAAAAAATATATAAATATATATTTGATGACTGCCATAAAAATGATCAGAAAATTATTCTTATATATATATATATATATATATATATATATATATATATATAATATATTTATTTATATATAACATATATGTATACTAGCTGCAATCCAAAGATGACAATCTGCAAATGTTGATTTATACACATAGCTAAAAAATTGAGACAACAGTTTGCATAGTAAGAAGCATACCTAGATCTACTCGGCTGTTCATACTGATCAAAAATCAATAAGATATGTGCTCGCCCCCGATCCCGAACAACTTAAATTTTTAAAATGCACATTTTCGCTCTTTCACTATCATTTCTTCTGATCTAATCCGCTTTTGGAAAATTATATTATGCCGTTTCAATAAGCCTTACGGTACCCTCAAAAAACAACCTCCAGCGTCGGAGTCATGAGCCATTGTCCCCGTGTGCTTCAATCCACAGTGATTCTGTTTTTGTAATATAGAATCTCCGAAATCGCAGTTCGTGTTCTGTAACTGCACTGTAAACCAATCAAAAAAAAAAAAAAAAAACAATGGCGTACACAATAAATATTTCGTTAGGGAACCAGTGTGATCAAAGAAATAAAAGGAAATGATCAAAAGGTATCACTGCCACGTGTTTCCATCAGAGACCGTAATCATTATAGGTTATATTATAAAAGTAATGATTATATTTAGATTTTGTTTTTTTAAATCACCATTAAAAAAATAAATTTCAAAAATAATGATTATTAATTATTTTTCATTATGTTACTCAAAATAAAACTCAACTGTAAATCACGGGTTCATTTGTTTCATATTATTGTATAATCACCGCATAGCTACCCTCATTTCTAATTTCGTAATAATTACCTTTGATCAAACATTTTTTAATTTTTAGGTTCTAGGTATATTTTAATACGTATTAATTATGTTTAATTATTTTTAAACATACTTCAAATTTAATTGCTTTCTAACAGTAGCTACCCCTTATTAATTATAGTCAGGGAGCACGGAAAGCCTCCAATTATTTCCAAATGCCCGCCTGGACTTGTGTGATGCTGCGTGTAGCAATCAGGACTTGAATATTCGTGCATCGATATCTCTTAAGGTAAGCATTTTATGTTATGTATGCTTATACCATAAAGTAAGAAACCAGAGTGTAAAATAAAATTTAATGTTCGCAAAAAAAATGATTCAGTGTTTTCTAAATAAAAATTTACTTCAAACAAATAAGTAAGCAAATTTAGGACGCCATATAGCTGCCATAGGAGCGATCGGTAGATGTAGAGAAAATGTAAAGGTGTGAATGTAAAACTGTAACTGTCAAACTGTAAACATAATAAGTATAGGTAAAATGTAATGAAATAATATCTGCAAGGGTATACAAACTTCGGCGTGCCGAAGTTAGCTTCCTTTCTTGTTTTTACATGTTTCTGCAATGTCAGAACTTCCAATTTATTTGGAAAACCCTGATTTTAGCACTCTGGGACTAAGTTTATCATTCTCTCCTGTTTGGAAACTCGATTTAACGGGAGTTCAGGTGGATCTTCTTAGATGGATCTCATGTTATCTGAGTGGAAGGACACAAAAGGTCCTGTAAAAATATAACTTGTCTAATGTTCTTCGGATTATCTCTGGCGTGTTGTTCGTTATTGTTTACTTTATTTATTAACGACCTGCCGATAGTTCTCACTAACTCCAGAGTAATTATGTATGCTATGTATGTATGTCAAACTTGACAGTCCGATTTACTGACAGATCTTAATAATTTTCAAAAATGGTGCTGTGTCGTTCTCTAGCTTTCGACCTTTACGCTGAACTGCTGTTGGAAAGAATTACTCTAGTTCATTATTTGGGCATCCGCATAGATACTTAACTTGACTTTGAATGCAGACTAAATTAACCCTCTTATTCAAGTAGACCCCTAATCATTTTATCTTTCCTAGCAAAGTACTTCCTAAACTTGTTAACTTTAATCCTAACCCACTTAGTAGGTGTGCAAGCAGTAAACCAGTAGTTCTACTGACCAAGAAGAAGAATAAATGTAAATCGAGAAAACTTTCGTGTTGATCTCAAGAATGTCTTTTTATTTTCTGGTTGTATTTAAAATGCCTCATTAGCAACTTTAATATATTTCCAGACCAAACACATCTCATTTGGATGCGATCGGGAAATATCAAATTGCACTTCGCAACAGCTAATGAAGGACCTCTTACCCCGCAAAGCTGAATGGACAAAAGTGTTGAATTTCGATGAAGGTGTGGAACCCATATTTCATTTCGATGGCTCCACTGGGGTAGTAATACCCGATACAGTTATCGACCATTATGACTTTTCAACGCATCCGTTCAGTATATTGACAGTGTTTCGACATCACAATATTCAGGGGTCAAGTTCAGAAAATAAACATGTCAAGGAACATATTTTGTGCAGTGCTGACGACCACAAAATGAATAGGCATCATATGGCTTTATTTGTTCGAAATTGTCGATTAATTCTATTATTGCGGAAAAACTTTAATGAAGGCGATCTGAATATCTTCAGTCCAGCGGAGTGGAGATGGAAAATCCCAGAAGTTTGTGATAACGAATGGCATCATTACGTAGTAAATGTCGAAGATTTATCGAAAGTGGAACTCTTCATTGATGGTGTACGATTTGAGAATTCTATTGAGGATCGTCACAGTAATCCGGAGGTAATAGATGACTGGCCACTTCATGCCGCCCATGGTGTGAACACCTCATTGGCCATCGGTGCTTGTTATCAGAGTTTAGAAAATCGCCTAAAACATGGCTTTAATGGTGACATTTCCAAGGTCAAGGTAACTCTCAATGGATTTCTCACACCAGAAGATATTAAATGTGGAACTTTTTGTGCGGAGCATTTACTATCACCGAAAGAAAATAATAAAAATGATATCCAGTCCAACGGACAGATGAACGAAATATCCATTGAGGCCAAAACGAAACATGAAATTGAGCAATTAATGCATAAAATTCAATATATTAATGTAAAAAAAAACCCAACCATAGGACGACGTAATATTGAAGTTCGCACGGAATTGGCTTGTAATAATCAAAGTTATTCGCTTCGTTTGCCGCCAATCGAGACATATATAATGGTCAATAAGCCCACAGCCGCGATCGGTCTAGATATCGATGTTGGCTCCACATCGTTATCGGTAACTAAAAAAGTTTTTTCTCAAAGTAAAATTAAACTTAATTAAAAATGAACTTTATTTTTTTTTTTTTTGAATTCATGCAGCTGGATAGCTCACCTGATCAAGATTTGACTTTAGATTCGTCCAAAATATTAATATCTGGTAAGTGAAACAAATGTTGTTATACACATTTTTCGATCTTTTTATAACAGCTATTAGATCTAATCGTCCGATCCGGACCGTTTCGACATATATACTAGTTTTTGTAGAAACGGATAGACGGGCAGGCAGACAAATGTCCAGACGGACATCGCTAGGTCGACTCTACTTAATAGGGTCAGAAACGATCCATTACTACATTGCAAACTTCTGACTAAAATTCCTTTCAATACCCTTTATGGGTACAAAAAAGCATTGAGCTGAAAATAAAATCGATTCTATAATCGATTAATCGATTGTTTTCAATTATACGATAAATCCATATACATTTTTAGAATCGATTTAGTCGAAAAAGATGTAAACATATGTAAAGAAGTAAAGTACAAATATTAACATTTTTGATTCAGTATTTTTATTATAATTTGTCTATTTTCGGAATCCCGATTTCCGGAATTTGGTATTTTGGATTCTAATGGTCGACCTAGTAAATGTCATATTAACGATGTCATTCAAAAGGTGAAGAACACCAAAAAGCTCACTGTTAAAAACTAAAATGAATAGATAAAATGCAAAGAACCATATAATTATGAATATATGATGGATTTTCAATATAATTAAAATTATATGTTGTTGAGCCGGCTTGAGGTCAGGGAGGGTGGAAGAATTAGAAGAAAAACAGTACAAAACTCCACGTCGAACAGAGCTGACGTGTAAAATAATGTAGGTCAAAAAAGTTATGTTTTTTATTGTAAATTTTATGTAGATTAATTGTTTAACATTGTTATAGTTGCCCTGAAGACGGTTGACGTTAGTTCAACCGAAATATATCGCACCAAACTGAATAAAAAGCTTTTTATTTATGTTGATACTCCACCCCCCTCCCTGACCTCAAGCCGGCTTAACAACATATAAACCAAGGAAAGGTCGCCAAAAACCACAACTATAATTAAAATTGTTATCGTTTTCTATTATACTCGATTTCCTCGTCGAATTTTTTTAGAAAAATCAAATCACAGACAATCACTTCCTAAACTTTTTACCTTTATTCCTAACCCACTTAGTACGGGTGCAAGCACCAATGTTTAATTTTATAAATGTCATATTAACGATTAAAATTCTTTTCGTTTTCGATTAAAATCGATTTCCTCGTCGATTTTTTTTAGAAAAAATCAAATTACAGACCATTGATTTGTTTCCAGCACTAATAAGGCCCAACTATCGATATTTTCAGTTCTAAATACTGTGTGAAACTTTATTTTTATCGATATATTGTTTTTAATACTAAAATAATAAATATATTTCTTTAAAGGAACATCAAATAAATTGGTATCGTATCAGGAAATAAAGCTAGGTGTACACATTTTGGACAAAATCTTCATCGAAACACTGCCCAGAAAGAGAGAAATAACTGAAAATGGACCAAATGTTATTCAAAATCTGGACTCGTGTAGCGTTGTGGTATTTCCCTCCTTAAATCCGGATCATGAAGATATACAAATTGATGGCGATGAGTCGCTTTCCTCAACAATGGATATTAAAACGAACATTAATAAAGATGGCGTTGAAATGCTGGGCAAGGACACCATTCAAAGCTACCTAAACGTCCTACGATCCCTCATATATAGTAATAAAAAGCCGGCTTATTATCTGAATCGAGTATTTAAGCTGTCATGTGCCCAGCTTAGCTCGCAATTTAAACGCGCGGAATATACACTAACACTCACTGTATTGCATCCAAAACAAACTCTGTTTAGGTCAACGACCAGTCTGCAATCATCTTCTTTGCCTTTAACTAACCAGAATACTATTGGTAATAACAATATTGAAAACTCTTACCACCTTAATAATGGTCTGAACAGTGACAGTGACAATAATCAACAGACAGGTGGGTTTCGACTGTGAAAAATGTTACTTTACAGAGCATTTGAAAGATATCGATCTAAAAGTCGTGCCTTTATACAAATACAAAAAAAAATACTTAGGGTTGAATCAACCAATATCACACAATATCAAACTGGTTCTAACATGCCTGACATTAAGTGACTGTTGCAAATCGTACCAATACAATATTATTTTTGTTGTTGTATTACTACAACAGTTCAGAGCATTAAAATCCATCGGAAATATATATTTCAGTTCTTGGTTCTAAAATGTTTTCGGCCAATGTAATTAATAGTAAAATAGTATGTTACTTTATTTTTGTAGGTTTGTGAATTTTAACTGCAGATTGTGGATAAAATCCACTGAAGAATAGTTAAATCACGTAATGTAATAATTATGTATCTTAAACAGTCTGTCAGAGTGAGCTCCAGGATTGGTTGAATTTACCAGCAAGAATTTTTGTTGTGTAGAACATTTTCTAGCTCATTTCATTTTTTTATTTATGTATATTTTTATCTCTTCAGATTCCAAGGTTTACTCATATTCCCTATTACATACGAACGATGTCCAAGAACCGAAGTCTCATGTTCACTCATTCGTACATAGAGGTAAGCTGATGTAGTCTATAAATATAAAACTTTCCAAGGTTTAAATTGTTTTCTTTTAGCTGAAGGCTCTCATCTAACGATGCTCATAATACTTGTTAGTGTCTTTTTGGCTGTACTTTTGTGTGGGGTTTCGATCGCGCGTTTGAAAAATAACCAAAAATACTCTGATCGTCACCAGCCCAGTCCGAAGGTAAGTATTTTACATACATTTTCCTTGCAAGTGAAGATGCAAATTATCCTACTTTCGATGTGACCCTTGCCATTGAGACTGATTTACAGAATTTATCTGACAGTCCAACCAAGAAAATCCCCTGTTTTTTGTAAGGCTTACGTTGAACGGCTACATAATTTTATATCTGAATTTAATTGGTCCAACTATTTTTCATAGTGCCATTAATTTATTTTTTATTCAATGTGTTTCGTCATACTATCCATCAACCCTACATAAAACTCCTTGGTTTCCCAAAGATTTGAGTAGCCTCAAAAATAAACAAGAAAAGAAGCTAACTTCGGCACGCCGAAGTTTTATACCCTTGCAGATTGCTAGATTGCTATTGGATCATTGAGAATCGAACCATTCTGGTTAAATAATTTTAAAAAAATAAAAGAAAATATTTAAAAGTTGTATATTTATACATAGCATAAATAAAATGCTGAAAACTCAACATTGTACCTATACTTATTATTTTTACAGTTTGACAGTTACAGTTTTACATTCCCAGCTTTACATTTTCTTTACATGTATCGATCGTATCTATGGCAGCTATATGATATAGTTGTCCGATTTTTATGAAATTTATACAAAAATTCTGAAATAATAATAAAAGCTCATATCTCAGAGTATATGAAAACACGTTGAAAAACAACGAAGTTATAATTTTTTTTCTATTAATTTCCCGATCGTTCCTGTGGCAGCTATAAGATATAGTCGTCCGATTTTAATTAAATTAAAACCGAAATTTTAAAAATACTACAAAATGGCCATATCTCAAAAATTATTAAAATATGTAGAAAAACAGCCAAGTTATAATTTTTTTTCTTAAAACTGAAATTATAATACCCTGCAAGGTTATAAAAATCTACTTTGTATGTTAAACTGAAGCGCACTGGTTCTCAGTCTGCCCTAGCCAGCTACTTATCGGCCTTACTGTGCTAAACCCGCAGTGTTACAAAAACTATTTTACTCGGTGCAGGGTCTAGCTCTCTCAGTACCGGAATCAGTTTAGTAATTTTATTAAAACTAAAGGCATGACCTTTTCTTAATCGCTTCCTTTGAAAATACAACCGTATATAATGATCAGGCAATGCCTATTTCAAGTCAGAATTTTTTCCTCATGCCCAAATCGAACTAAATGTTTAGTACTAGTTTAAACCAAAGCTCTCTTCTTTTAGATCTTGTTAGCCATTCAATGTCATTACACCATATTTCCAGCACCTTCCAGTTTTTTCTACGTGTCAAGATGGTGTTATTAAACAAAGATCAAAACTAAAACCTTTGGAGTTCACATCTTTCATTATAATTGGCTTTCATTATAACTACATTACATTACATTTTTCTGACTAACTTAAGAGTTCTTATGTACGCGGATGACGTCAAATTTTGCTTGGTGGGCGAAGTCCCTATATATTTTTTTAGTTCGTCCCATCTTAGAATATGAATCTTGCGTTTGGCAGTAAAGGCATCGAATGGGAACTTTTTACTTCTCGCCTTACCGTCGTATTCCACTAGAATCCTACTACTTATGGTAAACATCCTTTGAACTGCGTGGATCCTTTACAGTCCTATGTGCACATTTCAGATCAACACTGATCTCTTATACATTTCTTACTATTATTCTGCTGAACGCATATGACCACTAATCATAATGCATTCTAGTTATTGTTATAAAAAGAATTATGTCCCGAAATGTTTTTCAAAGAGAGAGAGAGAGAGCGAGAAAGAGAGAGAGAGAGAGAGAGAGAAACAGAGAGAGAGCGAGAAAGAGAGAGCGAGAGAATGTCCCGTGATGTTTTTCAGAGAGAGAGAATGTCTTGTGATGTCCTCAGATGTTTTTCATGGGAGAACAAGAAAGGAAGCTAACTTCGGCACGCCGAAGTTTGTATACCCTTGCAGATTGGTTTTGAGGTTTATATTATAGATTTAAATGCTGAAAACACTCACAAAACAGAGTTTCATTACATTTTACCTATACTTATTATGTCTACAGTTTGACAGTTACAGTTTTACATTCCCAGTTTTACATTTTCTCTACATCTACCGATCGGTTTATATGGCAGCTATATGGTATAGTTGTCCGATTTTTATGAAATTTATACCATAATTCTAGAATAATAAAAAAAAGCTTATATCTCAGAGTAGATAAACATACGTTGAAAAACAACGAAACTATAATTTTTTTTCCTATTTATTTCTCGACCGTTCCTATGGCAGCTATATCATATAGTCGTCCGATTTTCATAAAATTTTTACCAAAATTCTTAAACAATATAAAATGGCCATACCTAAAAAATGGTGCAAAAATGTTGAAAAACAGCAAAGTTTTAATATTTTTCTACAAATATATCGTATATATGTATGTACTACATATATATGTACAGCTGTGTTCACGGAAATAGCAGTGCCGCACGACCTGCACGTTTAAGATTGGAAAATACTATTACAAACACTATTTTCATAAATTTTTTTTCATAAAGGCTTAGTGTATTTAATTATTAACAATACCACAATCATTTAATTTAGGTAACATAAACCTAATAGAAGATATATCTAATAACAATAAAAAAGGTCTATATTATGCCGATCATTGAAATAGCAGTGAAAAACTAAAATTCTACATAAATTTAAAAATATCGTATAAGACACCTATTTCTTCTTAAATTCTAATTGACTATGATCTAATATTTTGTTAAATAGCCTTTAGAAGCTATCATAGCCTCATACCTGGGTGGCAAGGAGTCCACCAAGTCTTAGCAACGCTTGAGGGGAATATGGCCTCATTCCTCCTGCACAAATTGCCAAAGCTGCGGCTTAGAAGTCGGAAACTCCTTTAATACGTAGCCCTTGATGTCCCTCATAAGTTTTCGATCGGATTTATATCCGGGGACTGTGCAGGCCATGGCATTGCATCCACTTTTTCATTAAGAACCCACTCCTTGGCCACCTTGCTGGTATGATTAGGGTCACTGTCCTGCAGAAATGTCCAAATTAATGGCATATTTTCATCAGGATACGGCTGCAAGACAGTTTTTAATATTTGGACATAAACATAATGGTCTTTGATCCCACCGATCATATATACGGGACCTACAACGTTGTATGGAAAGTATACCCATACCATGATTTTTAGGCCACCGTGTTTTACTGTCTCCAGCGTATGGTTTGGGGGGTACTATGTATTTGGAGGTCGACGGACATATTGTCTTGTCCTATTTCACCAAATAAAACCAGTTTGGAGTCATTTGTTCAAAGGATCTTACGCCATTTGAATAGTGGCAGTTCAAGTGGCTATTGGCGAACTCCAATCTGGCCTTGACATGCCTTTAACCATGCAGTGGCATTTTCCATGGACTTCGCGAATCTAAAATTTATTCAATAAGTCCCCGGCGAATGGTCCCATGATTGATTCCCATGCCAATTCCCGCTCATATATCCCTAGAGGATGCAAAAGGACGAGCTTTGCTGAAGCGAAGTACGCGTCGAGCCTGTACAATTGTGGTTTTGCGAATCGTACCTCGGTTTTTTTGGGTTCGGTTCATATTTTATGACTTATAAACTATTTTAAAAGAACAATTCGAAAGATTTGAAGACTCTTTACATGTTTTGCCCTTCTTTCTAGGCTAAGTTATCTGATACCTTTCTCTCATGGAGCAGTGAGGTCCTGCGTCCACTAAAATAATTTTTTTTTGCGTTGTAAAGGTGTATTATAGTATAAACTATAATAACGACCGTAATTAAACTCATTTTTTACAAAATTAATAGAAATTTCGGCACTTTTTTCGAAAGAAAATTAAAAACTGCTATTTCAGTGATCGGCCAAAACGAGCTGCATATGTGAAAAATATCAATAAAACTTAAAAATAGAGCAAATCTAACGAAATTTTTTCTCGATTCTTATCTTTATGTTCCATTTTACAAAAACAATGTGCAATAAATCAGCTAGCAAAAAGGAATATGTACAAAAAAACGTTTTGAAGTTGTTCCTCTGTCGCACTGCTATTTCAGTGAACACAGCTGTATGTATGTATATCCCATTATTGGTGTTTAGTCCAAGTGGTTTTCTTGCCGATCTGCGGTATTATGATATTTTTGAAAAGTAAAAAATGTTGCCTCGCATATTATTGAACAAAAATAAAGTGTATTTATGTAGTATTAAAAACTTTACTATTTATTTATAGATTGTCGATGATGGCTTAATTTGGGATGACTCTGCGTTGACTATAACTATAAACCCAATGCAAAACGATGCTGGATCTGAAAATAGTTCAGAGTCAGAAAATTCCGACTCGGAAGATGAAGAAAGTGAGTAGTAAATAATAATTTATTTTTAGTATTTATATATATTAATATATATTTATATTTTAAATTCCTTTTACTTGAAAGTTTTAAAGGATGGCTTTGCTCACATAAATCAGCTTGAATGGGATAATAGCAATATTTTTCAACAGTAAATTGTATCGAAATCTTTTCTCACACACACAAAATGGAACTTTAAAAATAAATGTAAATGTACTTTTAAAAACAAATATTAAAACCAATAATTTTACAAGTTATTCCGCAACAACAATAACAAACAGTTAAATCAGTTATGCATGCAAATACATATATATATAAACTGTAAAGACGCGCATTTATATAGTTATGTATTAATTCTTTCGTTTGCAATTATGTATGGATTGTAAAAACTAAGTCAGTGCGGCAATTGCGCCATATACATACCTACATATGTACACCATAAAATCGTAACAGGGCCTACTAGGATATACAATGTGGCCAGACACAGTGTGTCCTAATTGGCATATATACATGGTCATACTTAGCGCCGCACACACAAAATAATAGCTAAGGTATAGTACAATTACTATTATATATGTATGAATAACCGAAAATCGCTAGAATCATAATAAAAGAATCGTAGAAACAAAATAATATACGTGCATAAGACCTTGATTCGTTTATTCTTTCCTTCTCTCTCACATGCACAAACATGTCTGAACATGTCTGATAAAAAAAACTCACAACAACTGCATTCTACCGCTTTATTGCATAGAAGGAGATTTCTCCGTCCCAATAATTTAAGCTTTATATTTAATTAATAAAACCAATATATTTCAAAAGGGAATCGAAAATAGCCCACTATCAATTAAGAGAAAAGAAAGCTGTAGTTTTTGATTTCTAATTTATAATTTTATAAAAATTAAAAAAAATAGATTAAGACAACATATCGATATAATGTGTAAAAAATTTTTTTTTATTTTGCTTTAAACAGTTAAATACTAATAAATATTTGTTCTAAAAGAAAATAAAAAAAATAATAATTTCAAAAAAAAAGTTATCATATTTGATGTTTATTATTTGTTGACACCTCAATTGGTATATCCTTGTAGTAAAAGAGATGTATGTAAAAACAAAAGTAGGTCAGCGCTTGGAATGACAGCTTAACGGAAATGTTTATAAAGAATGTTCCCATATCGGAACAATCAAGCCAACTAGATTATTCATAAAACGGCGAGGGTATGCAACAATTTAATTTTAAAATGAAGCTATGATTAATTTTTAAATTATTTATCTTGTTTTATTATTAGCCCCCATATTTCATTTCAATGCCCACTTGTACGACTCTAAAGATACTGAGACTAGAGTTCTAATTTTGTAAATTGTTATTGGTTAAATAAAAAATTGATTTTGGTGTTTAAAAAAGGTGCTTTTCCATTCGGGCGATTCTTAAAGAAATACAATAATAAAGGAATATGGTAGAAAATCCTCCAGAGACTGGGCAATGGAAACTGTATTATCCCGGACAAAGGGTAACGGGTCACCCAAAACGTCGGTGGAAGGTGGATAATAATCCTCCCTGCGCGTTATGATGGAAGCAGGTCATAATCGATACAGACTCAGAAGAGGATCTACATTTCGTTGGTGCGTCTGCTGTATGAAATGTGCAACAAGCTTATGAGGAGAATTCAGCGGCAGGCACTGCTTTGTATATCAGGGGCGCTGGGGTCAACCCGTACAAAGGCTCTCGAAACCATAATTGGAGTCGATCCCCTAAACATCCACTGATTTTTTGTCTATTTTGCAGTGTACCAAAAAAATACTACTTGACCTATCCAAAAGATACTTCTTCATGCGATGGCCGCTTGTATGCTGAACATTTTCTATAAACTTCAGGACAGTTTGTAAAGTCGTTTTCGAGAAATCGTTTTGACCAATTGGAAAAATATTGTTTTGGGCACAGTTTAATTGGTAGAGAAATCAGTATTACTTGACACCCAGGATTTGCAGAGATATTCGCCATCAGGAAAGCTGCAGAGCATATACCGTCCACATGAAACGGTCTTCAGTGCAATCGTCAGTTCCATACACGTACTAGCGAGCAGGGAGACACTAGATACCTTCATGAGTCAGTGCAGCCACCATGCAAGCTCGTCCATGTATCGATGGCAACGATACCGCGGACGAACTTGCAAAGGAAGGCGTCAGGCTGGGAAGTGAGAGAATTTAAATCACGCATGATTCCTTAAAAACGCTCAAAATGCGTGTTAGAGAGACGGTTAGACGCCTGAGCAAAAAACATATGGAGAAGAAACTCAACAGCCTGACTCAGCCACTAAGTGTTGCATCTACCACGGAAACAGTGCAAACTGTTAGTGGGAATTAGCTTCATACACAAACATTCGGACAACTAGAGGCCATCTTGGCCCATATGTGGCCTCACGAGGGTAGTCCGGTTCAACCTTACGTTTCCTTTCCCTTTCATAAGATACTAAATTCCACTTACAATACTGATAACACCTATCGATTGCAAAACTCGACCGTCGACATACCCAATTCCTTGAATAACCGCTTCAATTAAATCCAAAACTGCAAGTTCAGAGACGACTCGCATCATTGTCCGAGATGGGCGGTTGTCGTTCTCACACACTGTAAGAACAAATTTTAAACCGATTGATCCAGTAAATTTTAAGTTAAGGGGTTATATACAGTTGTGATAGTCGAAAAAATCGATTTTTTTATTGCATATTCTTAAAGTATGTACTGTTGAGAATACTCTCACAAATTCATAACGATCGGAGATATGCATAAGTAAGGTTAATTCGGTGCAATACGGGCCACTTTTCAAACATTTATTATGGCGAAATGGCTAAAGTTTAGTTAATGAATTAAAAACCATATAATAACACAACATTTGAATAGTTTTTGATAAATTTTGTATTAAAAAATATGTAGAGGTAGAGGAGTTATAGGGAATCTTCCGAGTCGCCTCCAAAAAAAGTTGATTTGCGGTGTACATCCTAACTGTCCACAAAATCATCCGATCTACAAAAATTATGCCTCATTCGGTAAAGGATAAGTGACCCGAGGTATTCATGAAGCGTTTTTATTTTTAAAATTTTTTCCCGATTTTTTATCAAAATTTGAAGTCAAAACCCTGATTTTTGACTCAAAAAATTGGTTAATTTGTTAAATAAAAAATATAAGAAAATTAAAATTAAAAAAAAAAGAAGTTATGTTCCAAATTTCAAACTGATTGGATCAGTAGATTTTGAGTTATCGTGTATACCGATTTTCAAAATGTCATTTTTTAGGAGAGCGCTTTAAACTTTGTGATTCTCATGCATTGAACACCAACCGACCTTCGTTCAACTCTGCATAACTTCGTCAATTTTCCAATGATCGATGTAAAACTTGGACACAATATTCTTAAGATATTAGGCCTTAAAAATAAAAAATAAAAAAAATTTACGAAAAAAAAAAAATAAATACCTTACCCCCCCTTAAAGCAACTGTGTGACAACGATCGTGTTTTATTCGTGTTGTATTCGTGTAATGTAATAAATAAATCACCAAAATATCTGTTTGCTTTAGTCATATTTTTATTAAGATAAAATCTCTAAGTATATATAGATTTGGTTTGTGCTTTCTTAAGTTTCTAAAACGTCACCTAAGCCTATATTTTTGTATTCCTGAATACACGTAGCTCTATTAATACGCATAAAATACCATTTAAATTGTTGTTTCGAAGTCTATTCGAGTATTATTAAACATTACATATTGATATTTTTTATTTATAATTATCTTAAAAACAGTAAATAATTATTATTCTTTTTTATTTTTTATAATTCAAAATTTGATAGTACAAATTAAGCATATATATATATATATATATATATATATATATATATATATATATATATATATATATATATATATATATATATATATATATATTTATACCCTTGCAGGGTATTATAATTTCAGTCAGAAGTTTGCAACAACAGCCGAGTCGATCTAGCCATGTCCGTCTGTCCGTCTGTCCGTCCGTCTGTCCGTCCGTCTGTCCGTTTCTACGCAAACTAGTCCCTCAGTTTTAAAGCTATCTGAATGAAACTTTGCATATAGTCTTCTATATACTCTCACTGCTATATATGTCGGAACGGGCCGGATCGGACGACTATATCATATAGCTGCCATACAAATGTTCGATATATTTTTAGAAAAAAAATTATAACTTTGCTGTTTTTCAACATTTTTGCACCATTTTTTAGATATGACCATTTTATATTATTTCTGAATTTTGTTAAAAATTTTATGAAAATCAGACGACTATATCATATAGCTGCCATAGGAACGATCGGGAAATTAATAGAAAAAATATTATAGATTCGTTGTTTTTCAACGTATTTTCATCTACTCCGGGATATAAGTTTATTTTATTATTCTAGAATTTTGGTATAAATTTCAAAAAAATCGGACGACTATATCTTATAGCTGCTATAGGAACGATAGGGAAAGTAATAGAAATAATTATAACTTCGTTGTTTTTCAACGTATTTTCATCTACTTTGAGACATGAGCTTTTGGTATTATTTCAGAATTTTGGTAACAATAATTTGAAAATCGGACAACTATATCATATAGCTGCCATAGAAGCGATCCGTAGATGTAGAGAAAATGTAAGGCTGGGAATGTAAAACTGTAACTGTCAAACTGTAAACACAATAAATATAGAAAAAATGTTATGAAACTCTGTTTAGTGTCTGTTTTCGGCATTATAATTTATAATATAAATATCAAAACCAATCTGCAAGGGTATACAAACTTCGGCGTGCCGAAGTTAGCTTCCTTTCTTGTTTTTTTTTTTTTTGCACAGGATTAAGTAATAACTACTGATCACAAAGCATATTCGATTTTTATACCCTTGCAGGGTATTATAATTTCAGTCAGAAGTTTGCAACGCAGTGAAGGAGACGTTTCCGACCCTATAAAGTATATATATTCTTGATCAGCATCAACAGCCGAGTCGATCTAGCCATGTCCGTCTGTCCGTCTGTCCGTCCGTCTGTCCGTCTGTCCGTCTGTCCGTCTGTCCGTCCGTCTGTCCGTTTCTACGCAAACTAGTCCCTCAGTTTTAAAGCTATCTGAATGAAACTTTGCATATAGTCTTCTATATACTCTCACTGCTATATATGTCGGAACGGGCCGGATCGGACGACTATATCATATAGCTGCCATACAAATGTTCAATAAATTTTTAGAAAAATAATTTTAACTTGGCTGTTTTTCAATATTATTCCATCATTTTTGAGATATAGCCTTTTTATATTATTCCAGAATTTTGGTAAAAATTTTATGAAAATCGGACCACTATATCTTATAGCTGCCATAGGAACGATCGGGAAATTAATCAAAAAAATTATAACTTCGTTGTTTTTCAACGTATTTTAATCTACTTTGACACATGAGCTTCTGGTATTATTTCAAAATTTTGGTAAAAATTTTATGACAATCGGACGACTATATCTTATAGCTGCCATAGGAACGATAGGGAAAGTAATAGAAAAAATTATAACTTCGTTGTTTTTCAATGTATTTTCATCTACTCTGAGATATGAGCTTTACTTATTATTATAGAATTTTGGTATACATTTTATGAAAGTCGGACAACTATATCATATAGCAGCCATAGAAGCGATCAGATGTAGAGAAAATGTAAAGCTGGGAATGTATAACTGTAACTGTCAAACTGCAAACATAATAAGTATAGGTAAAATGGTATGTAACTCAGTTTAGTGTCTGTTTTCGGCATTATAATTTATGACATAAATATGAAAACCAATCTTCAAGGGTATACAAACTTCGGCGTGCCGAAGTTAGCTTTCTTTCTTGTTACAATTGCTTTAGTATTTAAAATAATTATAATTTTAAAATATCCTGACACTCTTATTCTAATTTTGTTATTATTTCCTATACAATTTTGGTAAAAATGTATAATTAATTTGAATTGATTAAATTGCAAACCTTTTTTCATACGTTTTCTTGTTTTGACATTTTTTAGGACCTAAAATTATAAATTTAAAACAAAGTTAAAGATAAGTAGTACTTTGTTTTTTACAAACGTTAATATATTTGTATATAAGTTATTAATTTTACTTGTGCGCATTTTCTTTTTAAACTCGCTAAGCATTAATGTAAATATCAAAGCATATGTACAATTTTTACATGTTATCCTTTAATATAAAATATGTTGTGACTTTTTAAATATATGAAAATAATAAATAAATACAGAAAAATAATTAGAAAGTTTTTTAAAAACTTTTTTGTTTTTGGTTTTCATGTTTTCCTAGATTTGATTTTTGGTTTTTTTTGGTATGTTTATTTCTAATGTCTCTTTCGTAAGCATTATTTTCATTCTTATATACTGCCAGCCTTTTTTAACTTTCAGATTTTAACTTAAAATATAACAATAAATGCAAGATTTGTGTATGAAAATGAGTTGGGTCTATTTTCATACAAATGAAGCAATTTTTTAAAGTAAGGAAATTATATATATATAATTTTAACAAATTTGTATAACTTTCGAAAAAAATCAAAATAATTCGAATAAAATGTTATAAGCCAGAACTATATGTATATTCATTTTTAAGGGAACGAGAATTTTACAAAACTGAAAGATCTTATATTATATACCGCTGGCTACCGGACCTTCGGCTGTGTGGACAATGATATTAATAAAATAAAATAAGTCAAATAAATTAAATCATTTGGATTTCTTCGAATTTCAACAAAGAAAATCAATTTACTTTTTTGGATATCCTTAAATTTTAAGCCAGAAATATGTCCGATGACTCGGATTTAGTGCAAGCACTTCCACTTCCAGGCGATGCAGCCGAAGCCAAGGAGTTGGCTCTTGTTGCCGCTAGGGGTGATCGCAGATCCTGACTTATAGACTGGCTTTGACCGGTGCTCTCGTAATAATACGATGAATCTACAAACAAAGGAGGAGTTACTCGTCTATAGAAACCATATATGAAGTATATATATATATATATATAATATAAGAAACCATATATGGTTTCTTATATTTTGTTACTTACTTATTAAACCACCCCCAGCTCCATAACCATAGGACCCATAAGCACCGCCATATTGTGTATAAGCCGGGTTATATGCGTAATCCGAAGTAGGTACAACAGAACTGCAACCTGAAAATAAAAAAATTTTAAATTAATTATTTCTGAAAAAGCAATCTTTGAAATAAATATAAAAAATAAAAAGTTGAATGAAAAAATATTGGAACAGTAATTAGGGTTAGGCCACACCAGAACAAAGGTATTAAAACAAAGAATGAATAGGAAATTAAAAAAAAAATCTAAGGTTATATTTATATAGTAATTGTATATACGCTGCTCGGTTTTTGTTTACTGAACGGATACTTTTTTGAGTCCGTTTCTGAACATATTATTATCGTGGAATTATACGGTTTCGAAGTATATTTACGTACATTTTGCTTTTTGTTCCACTGGGAAAGTTGTGCAGGATAATGTCAAATTGGTTTTAATCTAAATACTTTAATACCAAACACCAATAATATAACAATGCTAAAGTGTGCTATATTGTTCATATTACTTATTTTTATTACCTTTGAAAAGGCGCCAAATACATAATTCTCTAAGACATTTGCTTTATCTTAATCACAATTTACTTGCTTAATTTTAAAGATATCCAAACAAACGGTCGCCATGTTATCTTGCGGGTTGATGAACTGTATCTTAAAACTACACATTTAAACAATCCGACTGAATTTTATTTGTTTTTAGATAGTTAATAATAGTTTTCTTCAGACAGCTCCAGCCATTTGCAAAAGTGGTTCGAAAATCTGTGTCACCCTGTGCAATTTATCAATAGTGCAATAGAATCCCCTTGTGCGATAAAATTTGAGACTTGCCTGCAGAATAATGATTAAAACTTGGCAGCACTGCTGTTGTCGGATATAGGCCTACATTACTACGCGGATTATTGGGCTCAGCATCTAATCGATCGGAGGTTGTGCCTAAACTGGGTTGCAGAAGTATCAGGGATGTGTGCGTTATGGTATTTGGTAATTGACTTTGATTTCCTTTCATCAGCTGATCTTCTGTGACATGAAGGTCCGGAGCATCATTATTACGCTTTTCCGATTCCTTATTCTTTTCTCCCTCGCCGTCTCGATCACAGTTTTTGTTAACGGGTTCCTTAACATTTCCGCAATGATTTGTAGCATTAACCGAGATCTCGGACAAGGATACTATGTTCCCATGTGGTGCCGTTGAAATTGAGCCAGTTTCCATTGGAGCATAGTTGCCGTCGAAGCCTAAAGCTGATGTCAGACAAAATAATAGGGTTTATGGCTTGTCCAAACTAATCACTCAAAACCTTCAAATGGAAGCAAAAGCTTATTATACTCTTGCAAAGGGTATTTTGGTCAAAAGTGTGCAACGCTGTGAATGTGGCAAATGGGTCATGTGCAAGGAACTAGCCATGTTCGCCTGTCAATTCGGCGTTAACGCAAGCTGGTCTCTCAGTCTTAAATCTATCTGAATGAAACAGTTCATTCATCTTTGTATTGCAGGTAGTATATACATACATATGTAGGAACGGGCATTCAGATTATATCCAATATGTTTTCCAACATATTTCAGTCTCCAATTATGCAATTGTTAATAATTCCTAAATTACGGAATTTTCCCACAAGGTCCTCAATTTGGGTTAGCAAAAGACTGATAATGAAAAATGTTCTTCAACATGTATCCCATTAATGTAACAACGATTTTTTTTTAACTCTAATAACTGAATCGAGCTATCATCTTCGCAACGTCCGTCTGTTAATTTTCTTCGCAAGCTAGTCTCTTAATTTTGGAGCTATATAAACGACCTATTTTTGTATTCTCATTAGTATCTAAGTAAGTCGGAAAGAGTCGAACGAGATAGGGAGATTGGACAGCAATATATTTAATAGCAAACATAGAAACGATTGGGAAAACTATAAAAATATATTGTAGCTTCGCCACTTTTTTTTTAAATATATTCATATCTAACGATCTGTAAATGTATACGAATATTTAAAACTGTACATTTATAACTTATGTTTATGTTTAAAATTCCTTTAACCGTTAGGTTAATTTATATTAAATTATGTTAATTTATTTTACATTTATATTTTAATTTTTTTCAACGTCTCAAACTATTATAATGAGCAATCGCGGCATTGCCATTTCTCTTGGTATAAACCATAGGACATATCTCAGAAAATTGGCTTAATTGAAATATTTCTCATCAAATTAGTAGCTATAATTACTATAGCCAATTTTTTACTGATGCTACACATACATACATTGTAAAAAAATACATATACATATATATATATACATAGGCATATGTACAAAACTAGAAGAATTGGGTAACAAAATGAAAATATTTTTATTAAACGTTGCAAAATTGTTGTTTTTCATTTGAATCTCTTATTTGTGATATAAAATAAAAAACCTAAATAACAAAAGTAGCCATGAATAAAATTAATAATTTTCGTAAAAAAAAATTAGTTGTTCGCAGTTTTTGGAGTTTTGTCCCATTATACTACTATGACACTGCCTCATTATTTAAAGATTACGTTAAAGAATTGACATATGGCTCTTCGAATTCAAGTTTTAATGCATGTCAATGCATTGCGAAAATAGATCTTTATAAAATATACATGATAACAGATACTAGATTAGAGGTCGAAAACCAAGTTATACGCAGCGAATTGTGGCGAGGTGACCGTAGTGGGAGGATTACAAAAAATTAAATAAAGAAAAATGTCATATATGTATAGTTGTCCCTTTCAAAGCTCTAATAAAATGGCTCAGCAATGAAAACGCCATTACTGTGTCATATAGCCATTAAGAGGTATTTTTGTTTGGAACTCTTCATATAATTCATGTTTGCCTTCAAATACATATCCATTGTATCCTTTTAAGGTATGCTCTTCTCTTACCTGTGTAAAATGGAGCTATTGCCTGCTGTTCCTGCATTGTATTCGTACTTATCTTCATGTCATGCATATTTATTGGAACTAATGGGGTTAACGAACTGCCGCCTATAAACCAATAAAAAGTTTAACAAAAACAAAAATGTGATACATTTTTTTCTAATAAATTTATATATAAAATAAATCAAAAAGAACAAAAAATGGCAATAAAAATATCGGTACTTACCAAGCGATGGTCCGATAGTTTGTGTATAGAGTGTTCCTTGACTTTGTGAAATGGTTGCAATACTATCGTAAAGCATTGACGTATCACTTCCCGATGGTCCATGCCCAGGGACCGCTCCTGGTAAAGAGGAGACCGCTCCTGGTAAAGAGCCTGAAGAAAATCCATTTGCTGCTTCATAGTAGGGTGCCGTGGCGCAATTTCCAGTTCCGGAACCTGTTGTTAGATTGCCCAACTCTGCTAGAAGCTTATGCTCATCCTTAATACACCATTTTCCAGACCAAATCTTAAAGGTAAAATAATTTCATTGAATTAATTTTAATTAATTAATTTTCTTCCCGCGAGAATGAAGTGGTATTCAAAAATGTAGTTAAGCCGAAGTCCATAATATAGGATTTAGCTCACAAAGCACTTTTTTATCCATTTTTATTAGCAATGCCTTGGTGGCCATTTCCGCTGAGTTACTTTTGTTATTTGCCTTCACCTCCAAAGCGGTGTAATACATCAATAATATTTCAAAATCAAATCCGTATGTTCGTAAGTTACTCTAGTTTTTTATATTATTTATTAAACAATATTTTATTTCAAGGAACCTACATTTGGATAAAGTTGGTCGCCGGTATAACCCATCCGCTGACGTTTCCCTTCATCTTCGGAATTGGTATTTATGTCGCGGTTTTCATCTAAAATGTAAATTTAATAAATATGCTATATTAAGAATATACCATTTATACTAAAACAAGAAAGGGAGCTTATTTTCGGCAAGCCGAAGTTTGTCTAACCTTACCGTTTGCAATAGAATCATGAAAAATCGATCCTCCTTGGTCAATTAAAAAAGGCTTCACAGGATATAAAACATGTATATTTATACATAGCATATATTTAAATGTTTTTATAAAACTTCAAAAATATTATTTTTAATTCGTAAACAAAAACTATAATAAAACATTACATTTACAGTTTTAGAGTTAGACTTTTACAGTTACAGTTTTACAGTTACAGTTTTGGAATTACAGTTACAATTTTACAGTTACAAATTTACGTTACCACCTTTAGATTTTTCTCAACATGTACGGCAGCTAAAATAATATGTCTCAAAGTAGATAATAATATACATTTAAAAACGGAAAAATTATATTTTTTTGTATAAAAAATATTCTATTATTAGTAAGGCAGCTAGCTATATGATATAATCGTCGTGGCATATATAGAACTGAGCTTAGTCAAAAGACTATCTGCAAAGATTCAGTTAGATAAATTCGCTTAGAATCGGACAGAGTGCCAGAATAACAAACGGACATGGTTAGATGGACTCGATTGTTTATGATCAGGACTCTATATACGAATAGGGTCGGAAATGACTCGTTCACTGCTTTGCACATTTCTGACTAAAATTATAACACCCTGCAAGGGTAGAAAAATACTATAACAAGAAGGGAATCTAACATCGGAATTTTTTAGTTTATATACACTTGCAGTTTGCTATTTAACCATTGGAAATTAACCTGTTTTGGTAAAATAAAAAATATTTCAACGGAAAAATTAAAAACGATTTGAATGTCCAAAAGCACCTTGATTCTCATATAAGTTGAATGCTATATTGTAATAAATATATACGGCTAGATCGTATTGCCACATTTGTGCTAATCACGAAAAAATATTTAAATATTATTATAGGGCGGAAACGACTCCTTCAATGCGTTGTAAACTATAAAACCGTAAAGGGTATATTAAGTATACTTTTGGTATTACTTAAGTTATTCATTTTCATAATGTGATGTCACGTTTTTGTCACGTGCCACTTAAGTGCATTTGTAAGTAAATAGCCAGCGGTGGTGAAAAAATAAATAATTTCAAGAAAGAAAGCTTTCCAAACCAGTAAGAAAAAAACATTATTTTATTATTTCAACAATAATAATTATAACGGAATAAAAACATAATAAATCAGTTTGCTTTTTGGGGGTTCCTAAATTTTGAATTTAATCATTTCGATGATAATGATCCACTTTCACTTTTTGATTTAGCCCATATGGGCATTCTCGGATACATTTGGCAAACAACCCTTGTATCTGCATTAATACTCTTTTCTTTTCAAGACAGCTTGTTTTTCATTTGAACAAATTGTCACAAAAACTGAACAGAAGTTAATTTCCAATGGGAATTTAGAGAAATTTCGATAAAAAGATGGCTTAAAGATGAGTACATTTTATACTACATAATATACAATCTATATATGTTTGGACATTTGTATATACCATATATAATCAAACAAAAACACATCACCACAGATTTGATTTATATATTTTTTTTAAATGACATTTTTAAAACCTCTTTAAAGTCACAGTTTAAGTTTTTTTATGATACATCTACAAATCGACTTAGTGACCTTAAACCTGGAATTCCCAAAAACCCTGACGTGTATTTGTATTCAGCGCGCCAAAATCTACTAAATCAATTCCGAGTTGTGTTGGAAGGCTGCTTTGATTATCCCAACCACTTATAATAGTTGTATAAGTCCTTTTATCCATTAAAATCAGGATTTATGTTATTCACATTCCGATAATCGATTTGCTTTTTGAAACATTAATATGGTCGTTATAATAGTTTGGTCAGATATGTAAATAGCTGTTACAGTCTCAAGTAGTATTCACAGTATATTGACAATAACAGACCAGTAAGAGACAACGAGAATTAAAAACTAACAATTCGAAAAATTACTTACCATGTGCCTCGATTCTTTTGCGTTTACAATTTGGATCTGGTGTTGCATTGTTATTGTTATTGTTGACACTGTTGTTGTTGTTGTTGTTGTGCGAATGATGAGCATGATGTTGAATCCCTAAAATTCCATTTATACTATATCCCGTGGTGGTGCGTTGTTCAGTCGTTGTCCCGTTTGCGCTATCATTAGGTATCGGTATTGAGATAATGGGAACTGGGACAGAGGAATCAGGAACGGAAATGGGAATGGGTATTGTAGAATTGGAGTTAGCACTACTATTACTAGTCCCGCAATTTGGATTAGCACTGTGATTATTAGGTGCCTGTGGAATTGGATCTCCACCATTTGTACCAGTGCTACTATCGAGACTCTCTGTGGTAATATTATGACTGAGATTCTGTGGCACATGATGCTGATTTTGGTGATGATGATGCACATGCTTGGCCTTTTCCGCTGCCTTATTGCGAACGATTCTATAAAAGTAAAATTTGTCATTTTAAATATAGAATATAAATATACAATTTAAAAAAAAATCGATTTTATATCATTCCAAAATTTTAACAGATTCGAGTGTGGGCTCTTGCACATGATTTTTCAATAGGCTGAACTCGGAAAGTCGCCTACTTAACTTAAAACTTAACGTTTACTAATATCCTCGATTTTTTTTAGCCAAACAATTTAATTGTACTTCAATATAAGCTTTAAAAAATTGTGAAAGTCTTTATTTATTTTATTTCTAGCCCAAATTAAAAAACAAACCCAAAAATTACTTAATTGAAGTCGGTCGATTATGTTACTTGAGTTACAACAATTGAATACTTAAATACACAAACTTCGGCTTCCTGATTTTAAGTTTTGGCCTTGTTTAATGTTGTTTGGTCTACCGGGTTTTTCTTAGTATCTCTTAACTGTAACCTGTTGACTTGTTTAAATCTACCCGAATGCTCGCACTGTTTTACCTCGTAAATATCTGAATTCTTAAATTTCAGCCTAGAATAACTCAAATGGGAATTAACATTTTTGAATGTTCAACCGCACCCAACACCGACGGCACCCGACACGTGCTGCCATTCAAAATCAATTCGATTCGTATTACCCTTACCACTCAGGAACTACAACCCTGCAAAGTTGACATGTGACCGATGATGATAGCGTAAGTCGTATAAGCCGCGGGGGTAATTCCCTAGTATAATACAGTCAAAACAAAAAAAAATCATAATAATGCGAAAATGTGCGCAATGTGTGATGTGATGGCACTTGGGTAATGATTAAGGCGATGAGCGGTGATTCAATCGAATCAAAATTTTGTGTGCAGAACTCTGATCTGCCCCGACCCCATTTGCCGCATTTTGGTATGTTATATGCAGGACAGGAGAAGCTCGAGAGATTCATGAGAGATTCAGAATAGAGTTTCCCCAGGAGACAAACACTTAATAAAGTGACTTTCACATAGCACTCAACCAATTTTAGTTTTATTATCCAGCCCCTTTTGTGCCTTCCAAATGTACATCTGTGCAGCGACGGCTTCTCCGCATATTCCAAACATATGTCTCGATTGTGTGCACTGTCCCTGTTCCACTATATGTATATATTTGTAGATCCCATTGCCAGAAAAGCTAAGCTAGTTAGCAGTTAGAATTGACAGCATTCGGTAGTATCGAGAGCGAAAACCTGTCAAATGTACTTACATCTCATCTACTCTACCTTTATCGTTCAATATACATATTGAAGCAAAGAAACTTGTTTTATTTCGGTACATCAAATTATACAAAGTTGTAAAATATTGCTTAAGCTGTCTTATTAGTTTCCCTTGTATTTTTCTTTATAATTATTTTCCCAAAAATTTTGTCTAGCTCGTTCACTAGTTTCTTCTAGCTTAAAATGCTTATGGAAAGATTATTTTTCCGCGGTAGCCATGAACAAAAATATCGAAATATCGATTCTGTACTCGGTATTTTACAAGTTATACAAAATATATAAACCGACACTTCATATTTGTATATATATGTACATATACTTTTTTTTGTAATATATCGAACTGTGCCAAATAAAAGGCTAAATTGAGCTCTAACTATCATTATAAGAAAAGGTAAAATTGGCTATTAAAAAATGTATTCTTAGTTTTCAGGTTGCCATATAATTTTCTCGGTTGTATTTATGTCGATTTCGAAATATAATTAAAAGTTTATAAATATGTTGATATATTAACATTAAAATTGAAAGAATATTAGTAATTAACGTCATATTTTTGTTTTTGTTTAGAAATATTTGATCCGAAAATTAAAGGTATGATTTTTTCTCTGTTTGCAACCATAAGGGCTGGCTTTGCTTTTCGTTGTTACTTATTTTTATTTTTATTTTTTTTTTTGGTTTAAGATTATTGTATCAACAATAAACGAATTAAAAAATAGAGAGAAGATAAGCAAGTCGTTGATTAACAATAATTTTTTTAGATTCTTGCACTTACTACTTCTCTGTACCGTTCGGTTGTCTTTTTGTCATTACTTGAATTGTAGTCGGTATAAACGTTTGGAAGTTTATTTTTAATATACAGGCCTGATCCGGTAATCGTAACATTTTTTGGATTATGTTTTGGGCGAAATCGTTTGATTTCGTTTTTAGCTGCTCCGGTTTTCGACAAACTGTTGCTATCGGAATGTTTCGTTTTCTCGTCGTTTCTTACTGCTCAAACACTTGATTTGTTTGAAGAACTGCTTTTTATATTTACAAATGCTTTTTTTCGAAGCCAGGAAAAAGCAAAAAATGCTGAAGTTAAGCAAATCTAGGCATCTAAGATCCTGCCACATTTTTCTGGTGGTCTCAATGAATTATTTGGTCAATTTTGGCCACTTAAGTAATTACATTAAATAGCATTATTTATAAACAACATTTTTGGTCCCACTTTAATTTATTAATGTATTCTTTTTTATTTTTTTAATTTTTAAAACTGTCTTTTCACACAGCGCATTTGTGAGGAACGGTTGGGATTGTTAAAAAAAGTGAAACTCGTGTTCCCACAGAGCTGCGTTAAAACGCATCCGCCATCCGAACAGCTGATCGATCAGTTGTGGCTCATGAAAACGTAAACAAAGACTGTCGAATTGGCAGTTGCAAATTTGAAATGGAGCATTTACCAACTATTTTGGCTGTTGTACAACAGCAAAATGCACAGATTGCGTCAGAATTTATCCGCACTAAATTTAAATGAATAAATGACAAGGAATTTTAGTTTTTCTAATGATTCTTCTCTAACAAAGAGCAAATTCCCCGAAGAGTGTCTATAGGTGGTATAGGCATCCAAAATCTTTAAAATAAGGTAGAGGCAGGCGGTTTATATTAAATAGTAACAATTGGGGACATATTGGGGCAAGAATATACAGAAAAAACGCCAACAACTATTTTGGGCATGCTTGTAGCTTTGGCGCCACATTTTAAATTCCATATCTCATTTGTTTCTCGCCAAGTGTATATACACTTTCGTAGTGATATTCAAATTTGCACTGTTAAGAAGAAGAAATCAGAGTTGCACTGAAGAACTTTCGCCTAACTATCGCCTAACAAACAAATAAGAAAAATCTTCTTGAACACGGTAAAAATTTGTTGGTTTTATAAATTTTTTATAAAATAACTGCATACCAGAATGATTTGGTGGTTGCGTGGAATAAACATCAATAGACCACTGAGTACTCTTTTTTTTCCTTTAGTAAATAAGATCTGATTTCATATTAAAAAAAGCCTTTTATTTTAATTCCGGCCAGACACAGGTGCACGTTCTTCAAATCGAAAAAATCTTTCGATTTCGAAAACCGTAGCACCCATTTCTGGTGTTCAAGAACGAAAACGACATTTTTTTCGTTTCACTGCGTTGCAAAACTCCTGACTGAAATTATAATACCCTGCAAGGGTAGAAATATAAAAAGATCCATCAAAGTAGCAGAATACAAAAGTACAAATAATACTAATACGAAAATGGAAACAGTACAATGTACAATGTTGCTTGCGATGAAAATTTTATTATCAAAGTTTTAAAAAAGCTTATTTAAAAAAAAATGGTTTTCTTCATTATTTTTATTAAAACTACAATTATAAGTATTGAAGTAATATTTAAAAAAAAGACCAAATATAAAAAAAAAACCCTATGGAAAACTTGAACCGTTCGCGAGATACCGTTGGAAATCAAAAATAAAATTGAAAAATAAATAAAATTATTAAATATAACTTCTATTAATGAAAAACTACATTATTGTGTATTGTGTTTTTGTTTTTTTAATCTAGTTTTAGTCATATTTTTTTACACGCGAACGGTACGCCATAACGTTAGAAAGCAAAACTAAAATCATAATTTTAGATGTTATTCTCAAAACAAAAAATAATTAAAATCTAAGAAAAACTAAATAATTTCTACATTGGGAATGGAACATCCCTTTTAGAATAGGAAAGAATCAGTTTCCATTGCTATTTCCAAATTTAATATTATAAGTTTTTTGGGAGCATCCTCTCGCCAGTTAAAGGTTCCCCAAAAATATTGGTCTAAAAGCGGAAATACATACATATAAATAACAGGCGGCAATGTGGGGCAGTGACAGTGTCGACAATGTCGACGGAACACACTGGTCACGTGGCTAGTGGGATTCTGATATTCAAACGATGTCGGTAATAAAGCCACTCTCCATGGTCCGGAAACTCGGAGTGGTCGTCGTTGTGGTCGTGTGTCAAGCATTGTGCCACAATTATGAACGCTAAAAACTACTTACGATATTTTTATTAGCTGAAAGGTTTCGCGTATTTCGGTAGAAATATGTACTTATGTACATACATATGTACATACATATAAAGACATGACAGTACGACGATGTTCTTCGTACGGAAGCGAAAGCCAAACTTAGCAGGATGACAATGACAGACACGAACGGACATGCGTACATCCGTCGAAATCTCTGTTTTATTGTACGTCGTAATTTCGATTTCTCTTTCCATAATTTTTTTTTAAAGTTCCTTAATTACGTCCCATTTTACTCTCCCCTATGTTAAATTATTATATTATCCTGCTACACGTTCTTTCTTATATAAAGCCACAACATTTTTCTTACCGATTTATTGAGGAAACACTGGGCACATTATCCTGAGAGCATATTGCCTCGGCCAATAACCGATCCCGAATTTCCCAAGCAAACATTGTTGGATTCTCGCGTTTATAATTCGCAATAGCATCCACAACGGGCGGTGTGGCAACTTTTGGCTTAGAACCGCCAATAACGCCGGCCTTAAAGCTACCAGTCTCATAATATCTGAAAAATATATTTATTAATAATGAAATTTAAGTGGGGTTTAAAGCGTTAAAAGCTCCCATTTTCATAATATCTGAAACAAGACATGAATCTCGTTTCGGCACGCCGAAGTTTTAATACCCTTGCAGTTTTCAATTAGATCATATTTTTTTTTTTACAGGTATACAGTTGCAGTTTTACGTTCACAGCTTTACATTTTTCTCTACTTCTGTTGATCATTCCTATGCAAACTACATATGTACATATATATGATAAAGTTGTCCGATGTTCATAAAATTTAAAACCGAAATACTGAAATAAAACAAAATGAAAAACAGCAATGTTATATTTATTTTTTTAACTTCCTGATCGTTCCTGTAGCAGCTACATACATACATATGTATATTCTGTAGTCTTCCAATTTTAAATCAGCTTTAAAACAGAGGAACTACATAGTTTGCATAGAAACAGACAGACGAACGGACGGACATAGCTTGATCGACTCGGCTAATGATGCTGATCAATTTGTTGAAGTAATGGCTTAAATACTTGTACTTACATACTATCTCATCGCACTTGTTTATGATGAGAATCATTTTTGTTATATTAATTTCTTTCAATGGCAGCTTTGTGATGTACTCATCCGATTTTCATAAAATGAAAAGGGATATTCTAAAATAATGAAAACTTTCTAAGACTCGAGGTGGATGACAACATGTTAAACAACGGCTAAGATATACTTTTTTCCGAATGTTCCTATGGCAGCTATGTCATATAGCTAGTTTCGACTTTAATCTGACTAAAATAATAATACGCCAGGATATAAAAAGCTGGTTGTATACAAAAAAAAAAAGAAAAAAAAATGTATCTTATGATGTGTACATGTATGTATATACATATACCTTATGTGTCAAATATATCTTATATATACAACTGCAAAAATAATACTAATAGAATGACAGAATTTTTTATTATCTAAAATCTATTATTTAAAGTCTACATGAAAACAACTTTGAATTAAATTAAAGATACATAAGTGATTGAATTGAGCTTTTTTTCTTCTTTATTATACTAAATTACCTCGATAGTATCTTGGACACACAGCCATGGCTCACACGTAACTGTCGTGATATGTCACAGGGACGGACACCGTTGTGAGCCAACTCCACAATTCTCTGCCGTACGACGTCGGGCAAGGGGCGACCGTTAACAAATACGCCACCCAATTGATTAACACCGCCGTGACCTGTTGATAAATAAATTAATACTTTATAAAACTCATTTTAAACAGTTTTACAATTATAAATTATTTGTACATAATTAAAAGAAAATAAAAACGTCTCATAGTCTAACTAAATTAAAAAAAAAAAACAACTCCGAACTCAACTTAGAAAATGTGCTAATATTCATTTTTTTCGTAATTTAAGGTTTAATATAATGATGAACACCTAACATATTTAATTGTGACAAATTTGTACATCGACCGGAGCCAAATTAAAAATAATAATAATCCTTCTTTTTAAAAGTGTCTCTCTGAAGGTCGTTTTACAAAATAAAACAATAGATTTATTTTTTTTATACATACAAGTATATTAATTAAAAACAAGAAAGGAAGCTAACTTCGGCACGCCGAAGTTTGTATACCCTTGCAGATATTATTTCATTACATTTTACCTATACTTATTATGTTGAGAGTTTGACAGTTACAGTTTTACATTCCCAGTTTTACATTTTCCCTACACCTACCGATCGGTTTATATGGCAGCTATATGATATAGTTGTCCGATTTTCATAAAATTTATACCAAAATTCTGAACTAATAAAATAAGCTTATATCTCAGAGTAGATAAAAATAGTTTGAAAAACAACGAAGTTATAATTTTTTTCTATTAATTTCCTGCTCGTTCCTATGGCAGCTATATGATATAGTCGTCTGATTTTCATAAAATTTTTAACAAAATTCAGAAATAATATAAAATGGTCATATGTAAAAAATAGAGCACATATGTTGGAAAACAGCTAACTTATAATTTTTTTTCTAAAAATGTATCGAACATTTGTATGGCAGCTATATGATATAGTCGTCCGATCCGGCCCGTTCCGACAAATATAGCAGTGAGAGCATATAGAAGACTATATGCAAAGTTTCATTCAGATAGCTTTAAAACTGAGGGACTAGTTTGCGTAGAAACAGACAAACGGACAGACAGACAGACGGACAGACAGACAGACGGACAGACGGACAGACGGACATGGCTAGATCGACTCGGCTGTTGATGCTGATCAAGAATACATATACTTTATAGGGTCGGAAACGTCTCCTTCACTGTGTTGCAAACTTCTGACTGAAATTATAATACCCTGCAAGGGTATAACAACGAAGTAATAATTTTTTTTTATTGATTTCCCGATCGTTCCTATGACAGCTTTAGATATAGTCGTCCGATTTTCATAAAATGTATACCAAAATTCTGAAATATTAAAAAAAAATATATGCGCAGTTTCATTCAAATAGCTTTAAAACTGAGGGACTGGTTTGCGTAGAAAAGGACAGATGGATATGGCTAGATCGACTCGGCTGTTGATGCTGATCAACAATATATATACTTTCTAGGGTCGGAAAAGTCTCCTTCACTGCGTTGCAAACTTCTGACTGAAATTATAATACCCTGCAAGGGTATAAAAATGTTTTATAATAATCGGGGAAAACCCCGCACGAGGATTGATCTATTTTTATATTATTAGGATTTTATTTTGACAAATAACTACTATGCTTCTATAATTTGATCAGATTCATTCATATCTTGATATAATGATATTGTAGAGGTCTTCAAAACAGCGTAGGAGCTAGATAGTTACATTATCTGAAATAACATGATATCGTCACAGGAGCCTCGTTAATAAGTTTTTTGTTTAATGTAAAATATAGTAGTACCTTAGCCCTACTCACTCCCTTTCTGTACCAATTATAACTATATGCATAGCTGTCATAGAAACACTGGATTGAAACTTCTGACCAATAAGCCAAGCTAACTTCCTTTTTATTTATTTATTATATATATATTTTTTTTAGGTTGTGAGTTTACATTTAAAAATTTCTATATATCTTTCCATTTTTCTCAAGCCAATCCCATAATTAACGCACACAGACTTCTTAGCACCGCAAAGGCAAATTAATGAAATAATTGAGAATCCCACGGAGAAGTGACAGAATGTAAATGGGGTGGAAACACAAGTGCCTTTTGCCTTTGCCTTTTTCTCCGTCCTCTGCATCACTTCACACAGTATGTTTTTCATTTGGTATTTTAGTTTTTAAAACGCGGTGTATCTTTTTGTTTTAACTCGATTTTGGCGTTTGATGGTGGTGTATGAAAAAATCACAACAAAAATAATATGAAGTGTACCCCTTACTGCTTATACCCTTGCGGAATATTATATTTTCAGTGAGAACTTTGTTGTAAAGTATAAATAATCTTGATCAGCATCAACAGCAGAGTCGAGTTATCCGTTTCTCCGTAAGTTTGTTTCTCAGTTTTGCAGTGAAATTTTAGTTGCGCTGCTTTTACATTTCGATATTATTAAAATAATGTCAAGAATATATTGCAACATTAAAACACCTATCTATATATATACCTATATATATATACTTTCAAAATGTACACACTCTGAAAAGTTCAAGTCAACCGACGGCCATTTTTGAGGCGTTCCGACCATTTGTAAGTAGCTTTAGAACCTTGTTTTCCTAAAAATGTTTGTGAGTTCAGAAAATATTCTACAAGCTATTCGAAGTCTTCTGACCTAAATTGGCTACAACTTAATGGAATTTTTAATAAAGATTAAGCCAAACTAATAAAAAATTGTTATGTAAAGAATTACTATAAATTTTATTATTTACATATTATTATTTTTTTTCTTTTGTATCCGCAATTTGTAAAGACATTTTTTTGTCTATTTCTCTCTTTCACTTCAAAGGTACCATATTAGGTATATCAATGCTTATAACAATACATTTAAACGTTTTTACAGAGCCATAGTTTATATATTATTATATTTATACTTTAGGTCTCCTAATTTGATTCAGATATAAACCCTTAAGAAATACTTTTCAAAATAAATGTCTGGCTTTCCCCTGATGTTTTTATTTATTCCTGATAACTATTCCACATTCGCGACTCGGACAGAGTGTTACGTCTATTTACTGGCCTGATTTTAAATGACAACAAACAGCTGAATAGTTGGAACACACTTCCAAAAACTACTACAACCTCGAATTGTCCTACGCTCAGCAGGATATCAACTGCTGTATTGTAAAATTATGAACAAAAGACTATTGTTTGGTTTGGCATGCAAGGAATACAAGGGATAATGATATAGAAAACTCGACTGTCAATTTAATAAAGTATCCATTGACTTTTAATAATATAGATACAACTACAACGAGATGCTATGTGTATAGGTGTTGTCTTTGTTGTTCATTTAACATAACAAGGAAACTAGAGACGAAAAATAAATCAAAGAGAAGTTCAACAGGAAAGGAAGTTAACTTCGGCATGCCCTCTTGCAACTTCCAATGGGGTTATTGAAAATCGATCAATATTGACCAAAAGGAAAAAAATTGTATATATGTGAAATTTTTGAACAATTTACATATCGCTTTTATTATTCAATTTAAAGTTTATATGTATATTTAGCGATTGATCAAAAAAGCTATCTTCGACCAGCTAAAGTTGAAATTGGATCGTTATATAATATAATACATAATTATACATACATATATCTGTAAATTTACCGATTGTTCCTGTCATAGCTATATGATCCCAAATGTCGGTTCTGATTTAAATACTAATGCGAATAGAGAGAAGACTGCAAGTCTTGTATTCAGATATGTAGCTTAAAACTTAAGAAACTAATTTGCTTAGAGGCAGATAGACGGACCTTGCTAGATCAGCTATTGATTCTGATCAAGAATATATGTATGTATATACTTGGACTATGTATTTTATAAATAATTCAGTTATACAAATGCCAAAAAAGGGCGAAATGCAAACGGACAATTTCGTCACTACGTTTACAATATTTTGGTTACTTTTAATCAAATTTTTTGGTTACACGTGCACGTGTAACAAGGTAACAAGCCTAAGCAAAAAATATTGATATCTACTGGCGTCTTTTCTAGGGTCTTTACAAAATTTCGATTTGTGTGAAAGTGACTTAAATAATTATAGATTTTGGCTGTTAAGATGTGCTCAAAATATCAAGTGAAAACATTAAAAAGTGTTTGAGACCTATGTATGCATGTATGTACATACATACATGTCGAAAAGCGCAAGAGCAGGGAATATACATACATATAATGACTAACCCGATGCAAGTAAAATATTTAGGGATTTAAACATTTTATAAGTATACACTACTCTTAGATATAAAAATATTTAAAAAAAAAACTAAAAAATCGACCGTTTTGTAATCCTTTAAAAAGATGTATGGGTGTATGTATGTTATTTTTTTTATATTATTATTACATGTATAATATTCCATCATATTTTGGTTGTATCGATAGGCCGTAGATAAGTCCATTTTTTGAATCGTTTTAATATAAATTTACACTTTTATTTAAATGTAATAATTTTTTTAAATTTACTATCACAAAATCCAGAAATCTTGAGTTCACGCACACATCACTATATCTTTTTGGTTTTCATTTTGAGCACCGTTATTATTTAATTTATTTTATTTGAACATAATTTTTGTTGTATTTTTGTCGATCTCGGGTGTAAGCGTTAAATTGTAAGCGTGACCGCAAACCGCAAACCGTAACCGCAACCGATGATGTTGAGCCCGAACCTGTAATCGATGCCGAGATACGAGATACAAGCCGAAAGAAATCCTCTTGCAAACGTACGTTCTGATTGACGGCACGGCGATGTCCTAAAAAGCGCGAAGGGTTTTGATTTTCCGTTTCTGTCACAAACTTCTTTGCATAAAAGTAAACCGAGCCCCGAGCCTTATCGTTTCTATAACCTATTCTTGGCTTTTCATTTTTCTATTATTTTTTTCTTATTACAAAAATGAGTTTTCTCTTTCATTTTTCGTTCGTTCTGTTTGCCGTAAAATATTGCTAACCATTTTTTCCACACAGTTTGCTGTTTAGCCGCAAGAGATTCTGCGCATCGCCTTTACTTATTCTTATCTATGTTTTGGAGTACACGCGCGGGCGTTTCGTGGTCCTTGGTTTATTTTACGCTT